CTTGATGGGAGTGTGTCCTCCCATTGATGACCAGTGTCATAAATGGTCATCAATGGGAGGACTGTTATGGCCAAATTTAGAGATGGGCGCTCCGCTTCCGGATATCCGCTCACATTTTCAGCGGAATTGGCATCCGCATCCGCATCCGCATCCGCTGGCGGATCCCGCTGGCGCTGGCGGGTTCCCGCGCGAATTCCGCGGGATATCCCCCCCCTTTTTAGAGGTGGATAGTGTCTTTTTTTTGTCAAAAAAACAAAACAAAGAAAAAAAAGGGTGGATAGTGTTTTTTTTTTTTCAAAAAAAAAAAGAAAGAAAAAAAAAACTGGTTTTCGAACCAGCTTGTCGGGAGGAATCCCTCCCGGCGGTATGGCCTCTCTTGGCACCGGGTATCCCTTGGGATACCCGGATATCCGCCAGGTCTGGGCGGAAAAACGGCCATCCGCAGCCGAATCCGCACCCGCTGGCGGGTATCCGCTGGCCCTAGCGGGTATCCGCCAGGGGATAGCGGATATCCGCGGCGGATTATCCCCGCCCATCTCTAGCCAAATTGGCTGATGAATTCATTTTTTTTTTTCATTTTTATTTTTTTTTATTTTTTTTGGCCAAAGTGGCGGTTCAGTACCTCCATACACTTCATTAATATTCACATAAGAAAAAAATGAGAAAAAAATGAGAAAAAAATGAGAAAAAAATGAGAAAAAAACACAAAAAAGCATTGAAAAATGCAGTAATAGTGGTAAAACCCATCCCCATAATCATACAAAACTAAAAAATGTTGAAATTCTGTAATACACTGGTAAAGGCAGCACTTCTAGTATAGTGTCTTAGATTCAAGCTAAGTTTGCTGGTTCAAATCCTGCCCAAGTCAATTTTTTCTGCTAATTGTCTGCAAAATTCATTGTTAATTTTAACAAAAAATGCAATTTAAAGCAATGGGGAGAAAATACACTGAATGTGCTGAATACCATATTTGTATTGTCCCAAATTCTGAGACAATAGGGGGTATCAAATATAACCAAATCCACCATTATTTAATTGACTGGTTTGAAAAAATCCACCCTTTTTTAAACATGTTGGTTGTCCATTTAACCCCTTTTGGGGCCCATTCATGCAAAAAAAAGTTTTTGGAACAGTGACTGGTTTCTGATGGCGGATTTCCTATATTTGATACCCCCTAATACGGATGTATTTCAAATTGTGTACTTGCCGGCTGAGGTACAATACGTGTATTTTAATGGTTGCACTGTTGAGAGAGAGAGAGAATAAAAAATTTGAAAGACTTTTAAACCACAAATCTTCACATCAAGATAATTTTTTTATTAAACAAATAAGGAAAAAAAAACATCAAGAGGTTAACTCAAAGGGTAGAATAAATATGAAAAAGTGACTTGGGACTCTGGGAGTGAAACTAGGTGAGAAAGAAAGGGGAGGTACACGCAGTACCTGCCAAAAGTACCGCTGGTACCTGCCGGAAGGTG